CAAAAGAATGGCTGGTCTTGGCTCCTAAATCCTATCAAATAAGCAACATTTGGCTTCAGTGAGCCCTAGCCACAGTCAGATTAGAGACACCACTCGGCTTTATCTGGGAATCTCTAAACCCAACACAAGTAACAACTATCTCAGATTGTTTTATAATTCTGAAAGGGTGCCCCAGGCAAAACACAGGTGGGGGCTGACCTTGTCCTGCACTACCTGGGAAACCCCAGGGCCAGCACACCCAGTGCACAGCTACAGACCAGTCAGAGCACCACCATCCATCCCCTCCACAGCTGATCCTCCACAGAGGGCAGAGGTTGGTCATCAGTTGTCACAGCCAGTCTTGAAACTGATGGCCTGGGTAAATCCCTCCCATTGATCTGCCAACAGCGACCAAGGCTCAACTACAAAAGGAAGCTGTACTCAGCCCACATGAAGAGTGCACCTCAAGTCCCTAGCTTGGGCAATAGGGGAGGCTGTGCCACTGGACCCTACAGGACACCTACTATATTAGGCCACACCACCAAGACATGGAGTTAAAGCAGCTCTAATACATAGAAACGAACATAGGGAGGCTGCCAAAATGAGGAGACAAAGAAACATGGCCCAAATGGAAGAACAGATCAAAACTCCAGAAAAAGAGCTAAATGAAATGGAGATAAGCAATCTATCAGATGCAGAGTTCAAAACAATGGTTACAAGGATGCTCAAGGAACTTAGTGAGGACCTCAGGAGCATAGAAAAGACCCAGTTAGAAATGAAGGATATAGTAACTGAAATAAAGAACAATTTATTGGAAACAACAGTAGAGTAGATGAAGCTGAGAATCAAATCAACGATCTGGAATATAAGGAAGCTGTAAACAACCAAGCACAACAAGAAGAAAACAGAATCTAAAAAAATAAGGATGGTATAAACAGCCTCTGGCACAACTCCAAGAGGTCCAACATTTGATCAGAGGGGTGCCGATAGAAGAGAAAGAACAAGAAATTGGAAATCTGTTTGAACAAACAATGAAAGAAAACTTCCCTAATTTGGTGAAGGAAATAGACATGCAAGTCCAGGAAGCAGAGAGAGTCCCAATTATGATGGATGCAAAGAGGCCTACTCTAAGACACATCATAATTAAAAGGCCAAATGTTAAAAATAAAGAGAAAATCTTAAAAGTAACAAGAGAAAAGAAGTTACCAGATGGTTGCCAGATGGGAGGGGGAGAAGGGGGGAAGAGGTGAGGGGATTAAGAAGTACAAATAGGTAGTTACAAGAACAGCCATGGGGATGTACAGTATAGGTAATGGAGTAGCCAAAGAACTTATACACATGACCCATGGACATGAACAATGGTGGGGAGATTGACTGAGGGAGTAGGGGGTGCTGGGTGGAGGGGGAACAAAGGGGGAAAAATCAGGACAACTGTAATAGCATAATCAGTAAAGTATAATTTTTTTTAAAAAAGGAAATCCTAACTCCCAATGTGATGGTATTAGGAGGTGGGGATGATTAAGTCAGGAGAGTGGAGCCCTCATGAATGGGATCCCAGAAAGCTCCCTTACCCTCCCCTCCACCATATGAGGGCACTGTGAGAGGATGGCTGTCTATAAACCAGGTATAGGCCTCACCAGGCACCACATCTGCTGGTGCCTTGATCTCAGACTTGCCAGCCTCCAGAATTGTGAGAAATAAATTTCTGGTTTTCATAAAAAAATAAAAATATTTATAATTGGTGAATTTTTGTGTAGCCACTTTAATATTGAAGATGGAAGAAATAGGCAACATTTTCAGCATATTATGCTTTATTATTTCAAGAAAGGTAAAAATGCAACTGAGACACAAAAAGATTTGTGCAGGGTATAGAGAAGGTGCTGTGACTGATCGAATGTGTCAAAAGTGGTTTGTGACGTTTCGTGCTGGAGATTTCTCACTGGATGATTCTCCATGGTCAGGTAGACCAGCTGAAGTCCATAACAATCAAATAAGACATTAATTGAGATTAACATTCTACCACAGGGGAGAGAGCAGACCTAAGTCAAAATACCCAAATCAATAAAGTTATTTATGAAAATGAAAAATGTGTCTTTTGTTTAGGGAAAAAAAACTGAACAGACTTTTTGACCAACCCCACAAAACTACAATATTCAAAACAGTATGTTACTGGCATAGAATAAAATAGAGAGCCTGGAAATAAGCCTTCACCTATATGGTCAACTGAGTTCTAACATGCCACAACCATTCAGTGGAGAAAAGGCCATCTCTTCAACAAATGGTGCTGGGAAAACTGGATATCTACATGGAAGAAAGTGAAGTTGGGCCCTCCCCTTACACCACTTGCATAAATTGACTCAAAATGAATCAAAGACCTAAATGTAAGAGCTAAAACGACAACTACAGTACTCTTAGTAGAAAACATAAGGGAAAACCTTCATATTAGATCTGGAAATGATTCTTGGCTATGACATCAAAAGCATAGGCAACAAAAGAAGAAATAAATGGAACTTTTATCAGCAACTTTTGTGGATCAAATAACGTAATCAGAAGAATAAGAATGCAATTCATAAAACAGAAAAATATCTGAAAATGATATATCTTATAAAAGATTAATATCATATATAAAGGACTCCTGCAGTCAACAACATAATAAATGATCCAACTCAAAAATGGGCACTCAAACAACTTAACACCGCCCCCCCGCAAAAAAAAAACCCATCCTAATTAAAAAATGGACAGAGGACCTGAACAGATACTTCTCCAAGGAGGACATAGAGATGGCTCATAAACATATGAAAGGATGCTCAACATCACTAGCCATCAGGAAGATCAAAATTAAAACCACCACGAAGTATCACCTCATACATGTCAGGATGGCTATCAACAATAAATTAACAAACAAGACGTGCTGGTGAGGATGTAGAGAAAAGGGAACTCTTGTACACTGTTGATGTGCTTGTAAATCAGAGCACCCAAAGTGGAAAACAGTATGGAGATTCCTCAGAGATTAACATAGAGCTGCCATATGATCTAGGAATTCCATTTCTGGGTATTTATCAAAAAAAATAAACCCCCAAAACACTTAATTTGAAAATATATATGCACTTCTATGTTCACTGCAGCATTACAAGCAATAACCAAGATACGGAAACAATCTAGATGTCCACTGATAGATGAATGAAAAAAGATGTGTGTGTGTGAATAAAATATTATTCAGCCATAAAAAGAATGAAATCTTGCCATTTGTGACAACACGGATACACCGAGATGTATTATGTTAAGTGAAGTGAGTCAGAGAAAGGCAAAAACATATGATCTCATTTATATGTAAAATCTAAAAAAGCAAAATAGCCCTGACCAGTGTAACTCAGTTGTTTGGAGCATTGTCCTTTAGACCAAAGATTGAGAATTCAATTCCTGGGCAAGTTCCATCCCTGGTTGGGGCACATACAAGAAGGGAACCAATTGATGTTTCTCTCATGCATCAGTGCTTCTCTTTCTCTCTCCCCTCTCCCTCCCTCATTTCCTCTTTATCTAAAAATCAATGGAACCTATCCCACTGAATTAATAAGAAGGTTCTGTAACCCTTGAAAATTTGCAAAGCAATAAGAAGAGTCCTCAGGTGAGGATAATAATAATAATCAAAAACAAAATAAATGAATAAACAAAACAGGTTCATAGATACAGAGAACAAGCTGATGAGCTGATGGCTTCCAAAGGGAAGGGAGATGTTAATAAAAATAATAAAAAATTTTAAAACATTTCTCCAAAAAGTACACAAATGACCAATAAATAAGCAAATGAAAAGATAACATAACTGTCATTAGGAAAATGCGTATTAAAATCACAGTGAGATACAATTTTATACCCATCAGAACATGATTTAAAAAAATAGCAAATAACTCTGCTGGTGAGGATACGGAGAAACTGGAACTGTGTACACTGCTTGTGGAAATGTAAAATGTGTAGCCAAAGCAGAAAAATTTGATATTTCCTCAGAGATTTAAACATAAAATTATCCTACACCATTAAACTATATACTCAAAATGGTTAAAATGGTAAACTTTGGCCCTGGCTAGTGTGGCTCAGTGGATTGAGAGCTGGCCTGGGAACCAAAGGGTCACTGGTTCGATTCCCAGTCAGGGTACATGCCTGGGTTGTGGGCCGGGTCCCCCAATAGGGGGTGCACGAGAGGCAACCACACATTGATGTTTCTCTTCCTCTCTCCCTCATTTCTCCTCTCTAAAAATAAAGATATTTTTAAAAGGCAAATTTTGTTATGTATTTTACCACTATAAAAATCTGTAAATAAATGCATGCACATGGCCTATCACTTAAATGTTATAATTAAAGATGAGATGTGAGATAGCAACAACATGGAAAAATAAAGAATATCAACTGATTCACTGAAAGTATACTCAGCCTATGTTCTAGGTATCCTAATGAGATTTTTTTTAAAAGGCAGAGTCAAAAGGACAAGTACCATTACTAATTTATATTTTTGCACACTATTTTATGATCCTGTTTCTTCAAATATAAAATGTGAATTAGATTATTGATGATCACATAAATCAAAGAGTTTTTTAAAAAGTGATGGATATATAACAGTATATTTATTTACAAGTGAATATTAGAAAATATTAGGGCATTATTTGCTCTGTTGCAAATAAACACACGAAAAAAATGATGGATTATGTCAAAGAAAATGTTTGCATTTTCTCATGTAAGCTGAATTCCACAACACAGATTCAGATCTTGCAAATGATTTTTTGTGCTGCTTTAAGAAAGAAGCTTGCTATTTTAACAGTTAGCTTTGGGGCCAGAAGACAAATAGCCCAAATAATTTAAAGAATGAGCAAACTGTTCTTCATTTTGAAGTTGTAATAATCAGTTTATAGAGACCACCTACTATCTTTCAAACTTGTTTAAAATTTACTCATACTTCGATCTATACAAATAAATAAAACAATAAGTTAATGTTAAAACTTCACATTGAGTCTGTACTTTTAAGTTATTACCTGGAATCAAGAGAAGTAAGAAGTTGATCAAATTGTTTCTCTAGATCCTCTAAAAGACTGACTGTCTCCTCTTCTGTTTGATTGTGTATGTGTTCAAGCACCTGGGAAGAACATAATACAAAAACCTAATTTGGTATTTGTAATTTGGTAGAAATTGTACTGTTTAACATAATTTTGAAAATAAAAGGTACTTTTGGATTTTTCAAAATAACAGGAGAATATCAGATGATAAAAACGGAATACCCCCAGTCACATGGTTCAACTTCAAATCCTGGTATTTGTCATCTTCATTGGCACTGTATACTGATAAACTAGCAAAAAGGCCTAGAGAATCCACTAGGTATTCTAAACATCTTTCTTATCCCTTTTGGTCATTACAGGAAACAAGTCATTTTAAATAGCTGAGTTTCTCTCTGGCACCATTCCTTAAATTTAGCATGTTTAATCCAAGTATTTTTTAAAACATTTTAATTTTTTAAAAGATTTTATTTATTTATTTTTAGAGAAAGAGTAAGGGAAGGAGAAAGATAGGAAAAGAAACATTGATGTTGTGACAGAATTATAAATCGGCTGCCTCTTGCAAGTCCTAAACCAGGGACCTGGCCCACAACCCAGGGATGTACCCTGACCAGAAATCAAACTGGTGACTTTCAATTTGAGAAACAATGCCTAACGCACCAAGCCACACCACTCAGGGGCCACATGCTGCATTTTTTTAAAAATCAACCTAATTCTTCTTTAAAAACAAAAATATTCATTTATTTTTAGAGAGAGGGGAAGGGAGGGAGGAAGAGAGGGAGAGAAACATCAATGTATGGTTGCCTCTTGTGTGCCCCCTACTGGGCACCTGGCCTGCAACCCAGGCATGTGCCCTGACTGGGAATCACACCAGTGACCCTTTGGTTCACAGGCCAGTGCTCAATCCACTGAGCCACACCAGCCACGGCCACATACTGCATTTTTAAACAAAGAATTATTCCTTTAAAACTGTGACTCTCTTTTTCCTTTCAATTTTTCCCTTTTGGAATGGGAATGCCTAACCTATGCCTGCCCAATCAATGTATTTTAGAAGAAAACAAATTATGACCTAGTTTCACAGATTCACTGTCAAATAGGAATTTGGCCCCTGAGTCTCAACCCATACCTGATAAGAAGATATTTAAATGAGAATGAGATTTTGGACTTAGAACTGATGTTGGAATAGATTAAAACTAAGTTGGAATGGGGTAAAGGTATTTTGCATCTGAGAAGGCATCTGAGGAGGTGGAGCAGAGGGCAAGACTGTTATGGGTTGAATTGTGCTCCCCATCTCAAATTTGTGCATTGAAGCCTTAACTCCCATATCAGCTATAACCTTCTAATTGCCCTGGCTATAAATTTGCTGTTGCTTATTCTTTGTCACCAAATGAGTGAGCCTCCTTTTTGGGAGATGGGTAAGGAAGAGAAACTCTTTGGGAAAGAATATACAGGCAAGTAATGAGCAATGTTAGATGATCTGCAATGATCTGACACAAGAAATCATGGCTCCTTGTTAGAACTTCTGTGTAAGTGGGCTGCTAGCACAATGCTACAAAACCAACCCTAGCAGGCCAGGGGAGTTTCCCATTCTTCTGCATGTTTCTCCGTCATTAGATTATTATGCTTAATAACTCAGTGCTAAACTTTAACTTCAGTGATAGTATATCCAAATATTCACATTTAAGGAGACCATGCCATAATTCATGATAGAATTAATCATTAAAATACTTACTTTTACAGCAATACTTAATTGTTCAAAATTATTGCCTGCAGTTTTCAGTGCTTCATCAATCTCTTCTGCAGTTTTAGTCTCCTAAAAAAGGAAAGGGGGACCACATACAAATACAAAAATAGGTATTTAGATACACTGTATTAGTCACAAAAACACCACACTACAAAAGCAACGAAGACCCACTACAGAAATCTGAAAACAAGCAAGAAAAATAACACTGTTAATCCTACTTACCCAGAGATTAAAAACAATTCACCTTTTACAGTTTTGGTTATAGCATTCCAGATAATTTTAGATAACTTTTTGAAAAAACTAAGATGATGTTCTGTGATCATTTTGAAACTTAAAACTATTTTGAAAAATGTATCATGGCATACGTGTGCACATGTAAAAATGAACAGTTTAAGGGAAAAAACCTTATAATTTGGTTATGTTAACATTTAAACTTGTAGTAAAAGATAGCAAGATTGAGGGCTCTATTTCTTCCCCCAGCTCACTCAAGATCTTAACAAAAAGAATTAATATTTCATTCAATAGCATTTAGAGTTTGTTCTTTTTCTAAGCTTAAATTTAAAAAATACACTATTTAAAGTTATCAAGTGTAATAATAGGTAAAATTGAGTCTTCCAATATCATCATCACCATCATCAATAACAAATGCCATCAGGCCTTTTGGATGCCATTAAAATCACATTCAGAATTTAGAAATGTATACTTTATACAAGTTTCCTAAATCCTGAATACAATTAGGTTCAAAGGGAAGCTACATACAGGTAAATATCAAGAATGCTAAGAGTTGTCTAAGGTAGAATGAGCAGCCTTAGAAGAAGAGAATTGTCCAAGCGTAGTTTAGAATAAAACAAGAGCTTTCAGTAAGAAGTGTAGATTTACCCCTTACCTTTAAGCTTCCAAAAGAACCTATAATTAAATAAAACTTGAGAAGAGAGGAAAGCTAAGCTACCAGAGACAAAGTGAAAATGTCTGGCTTTGTCTTATTTCACAAGTAACATTTTTCATACCGCCATTACTGCTGATGAAGTCAAAACAGTCCTGTGTGTGGATGGTGAATGTTCTAAACCAATAGTTAGCTGATCAACAGTCTTTTTAAAGTCCTGAGAACAATTCTTTATCCTGAAAAAGGTCAAGTACATTATTTTAAGTACCAACACAAACATAATAGTTATAACCTTCTATTCTGATTTTTACTATCAAAAATAATTCATATGACGACTTGTATAACGCACACATTGGGTTCTCATTCATCTATGTTAAATGAAGAGTGGAAACTAATACTGCTTCCTTAGGAACTGGAGTATCCATTTCATTAACAGTTAAGACAAATTATGAATTTAAAAAGCACTCTAAGAACAATGGGTTAGAAACACTGATGTGAGAATGACATTTTATCAGTGATGCTAAAATTACTTTCAGAAATGTATTGAACTTCAAATACTAAAATGAATGTACATTGAACATACTTTTTAGGCTGCAGTTTGTCCATAAGAGAATATTCTTTAACATATCCATCTAATTGGTAGTCTCCTTGTCTCATACTTACAACTGTAGCAACCTTAGGACAAAAGAAGAAACACAAAAAGAGAAAGCCATTCAATAAATTCTGTTTATATAGAACTCAAACAACCAGTGTGCCATTCTCAGATAAATTTGATGACAGCTTTAAAGATCCTTAAATCCTCATTAAATTAAAATAATTGTACATTTATGTTTTTATCTTATTTTAATTGGTAATCAGTAACTTGGCAATTAAACAGAACATTAAATTAATTAAAACACTTCATTATACCAATATTCTAAGGGAAATACTGGTAACAATTGTTTTAAGTTTACTGTAAAAATTTTACAATGATATCTTAAGGGATGTTCAAAACTCAAAAAACTTAGGAATAAATTTAATAAGAAAAATATAAGTTCTGGAGAGATCAAGATGACGGAGGAGTAAGTGCAAGTCACACCGAACCACTTCCAGGACCAACCTGGAATTACAACTAAATTGTGGAGAAATCACCTGGAACAAATAACTGAACAATAGCAAGAGGGGAGCCTTGTAATCTCGGAGACAGAAGAATCGGCTTTAGTGCAATCTAACTGGTAAGGAGTGCGGTACATACCTGAGAAGGCAGGCGGGGTGCCCACGGGCAGCAGCACCATAATGATATTGAAATGGCCAGTAGGATCCCCCTGAGAAGAGTGGGGTCTAAACCAAAAGAGGGGATCTCTAGCCCACAGCACCAGAGCCCAAAAAGTACACAGAAAACAGCCACCTGTGAAAAATGGCAGGGTTGCTCTCTGCCAGAGACAGGTGGCTGAAGACACAAAGAGCCTTCTAAAGGGCCAACGCAAAATTTTTATTTGCAGCCACTTACTTTGGTCTCCGGCAAAGCGTGGGGCAGAGTGGGCTAGAGATGCCTGAGGAGAGACTGGGGAAGGAGGTCTTGGGGAGAGAACTGAGAGAGTAGCCAGTGGGATCTCGGTGCTGATTCATCCCCCATGTGGCAGCAGCCATCTTCCTCAGGCAGACCACACCCCTTGAGCGGCACCAACATCAAAGGACCCAACAGCCCCACTCCCAGGAGGGATTCCACCCCACCCAGTGCTATCTAAGCTGCCTGCTGAGTGCAGAGTGGTAGCCACAGACAGTAGATTCCTTGCTAAAGGGGGTGCAGAGAGGTCTGGTGACACTTGAGGAGAGACTGGGGACACAGGCTTTGAGGAGAAAATGGAGAGAGTAAACGGCAGGATCTCAGTGTGGAATCATCCCTCACATGGCAGCAGCATGAAAGGACCCAATAACCCCCCCCCCCTCAGGAGGGACACTTCCCTGCCCTGAGCTGTCTAAGGAACCCTGCTGAGTGCAGAGTGAATAGATTAACAGCTGAAGGAGACAGCCACAAACAGTAGAGTTCTGGAAGTCTTAAACAGACTGCCTAAGGTCAGACAGGGTAAAATCTGACATCATCAGAGGCATCCAGAAAGTAAAAACAGCGGTCTCCAACCATAGAGGTTTACACCACAAAGTCAGGAAATAAACACAGATCAACTTAAGAAGCAGTAGCAAAAGAGAAGAGTCTCACAAATAATGGGAAGACAAAGAAATATGCCCCACTCGAAGGGAAAGGAGGAATCCCCACAAAGAGAACTAAATGAAATAGAGGCAAGTAAACTATCAGATACTGAGTTCCAAATAACGGTTCTAAGGAAGCTCAGGGAGCTCAATGAGCTCAGAGAGAATTCCCAAAAACTACAGGGAAACTACGAGAAACTTACTGCAAACTATATCAGCAGAAAAAGAACATAGAAACTATCAATAGAGACAAGAGGAAATGAAAAATACAATTTCTGAATTGAAGGACACAGTAGAAGGAATCAAAAGCAGGCTAGATGAAGCTGAGGACCAAATCAGTGAGCTGAAGGACAAGGTAGAAAAAAGCTCCCAGAAAGAGCAAGAAAATGAAAAAAGACTCAAAAAGAATGAACAGGCGTTAAGGGAAATGCAGGACAACCTGAAACGTAATAATATCCGTATAATAGAGATACCAGAAGGAGAAGAGGATGAGGAAGGCATAGAGAACCTGTTTGAAAAAGTAATGATGAAAAACTTGCCTAATTGGAGGAGAGAAATAGTCACACAAGTCCAGGGAATACAGAGGGTCCCATTCAAGAGGAACCCACTGAGGCACACTCCAAGACACAGCATCATTAAAACAGCAAGTATGAAAGACAAACAGAGAATCCTAAAGCAAGCAAGAGAGAAAGAGGTAGAAACATATAAGGGAGCCCCAATATGACTAGCAGCTGACTTCTCAACAGAAACACTGCAAACCAGAAGGGAGTGGCAAGAAATATTCCAAGTCATGAAAAGCAAAGGCCTGCAACCAAGACTGCTCTATCCAGAAAGGCTCTCAATTAAAATGGAAGGCAAAATAAGGAGTTTCCCAGACAAAAGAAGGCTAAAAGAATACACCTCCACCAAACCAGCACTGCAAAATATTCTAAAGGGATTGCTTTAAGATGAAGAAAAAGTTCCTATGAATACCCAATTCCTTTCTGAGTTGCCAATACTTGATATTACCAACATTTTTCATACTCATTAATCTGATTGTGACAATGATGTGTTATTTCAAATGTTCCTTTAGTATCTGTTGAAACTAAAACTGTTTTAGTATATTTCTTTCCCATTTCTGTTATGTTTTAAAATAGCTTTAAATGACTTCTTGGTATTTTTTATCCATTTATTGATTAAAGGTTGTAGAACTTATTTTCCTAAAAAAACAAAACAAAAAAAGCCCCTAAGATCCTACTAACCATGTTTTAGATGTGTTGCAATTACTTTTCTATTCTATTCCTTGTAATTTAACTTTTTTATACATATTATATAGTTAAATGTTTAATATAGTCATATTGTCAATATTTACTTTATAGCTTCTCGGGTTGCATATTTTACGTCAGGTCATGAAAAATATTAGTTCTATTTTCTTCTAAAACTCCTTAGATTGTACATATAGATTTTCTTAAATTAATTAATTTTTCCAAATACATCTGTCTCTGCCTTCCCCCTACCACTTTCATCTGCCCCCCTGCCCCCTTTCCATCCTTCAGTCCTTCCCCACTTTGACTCTGTCCATGAGTCCTTGCTATATGTCCTTGACTTGCCCCCTTCCCTTCTTTTTCCCCCGCCCACCCCTCCCTCCTTCCCTCTTGTCTCTGTTGGTTTCTTTTCCTTTCAGTGTTGGACTTATTTTCCTTGCATCTTTGTTTTGTTGGTTAGGTTCTGCTTACAGGTGATATCATATGGTGTTTGTCTTTTGCACCCTGGCTTATTTCACTTAGCATAATGCCCTCTAGTTCCATCCATGCTGTCCCAAAGTATAGTAGTTCTTTTTTTCTTTCTGCTGTGTAGTATTCCATTGTGTAAATGTACCATAATTTTTTGATCCAATCATCTACCGATTGGCTTTTAGGTTGCTTCCAACACTTGGCTAGTGTAAATTGTGCTGCTATGAACATTGGGGTGCAGAGGTTCCTTGGAATTGGCGTTTTGGGATTCTTAGGGTATAGTCCCAGCAGGGGAATCGCTGGGTCAAAAGGCAGTTGCATTTTCAGCTTTTTGAGGAAATTCCACACTGCTTTCCACAGTGCCTGCACCAGTCTGCATTCCCACCAACAGTGGACTAGGGTTCCCTTTTCTCCACAGCCTCGCCAGCACCTGTTGTTTGTGGATCTGTTTATGATGGCCATTCTGACCGGTGTGAGGTGGTATCTCATTGTGGTTTTGATTTGCATTTCTCTGATGGCTAGTGATGCTGAGCATCCTTTCAAATGTCTCTGGGCCCTCTGTATCTCCTCCTTGGAAAAGTGTCTGCCCAGGTCCTTTGCCCATTTTTTGATTGGATCGTTTGTCTTCTTGGAGTGGAGTCGAGTGAGTTCTTTATATATGTTGGAGATCAAACCCCTATCTGATGTATCATTAGCGAATATATTTTCCCATATGGTTGGCTCCCTTTTCATTGTGCTGATGTTTTCTTTAGCCATGCAGAAGCTTCTTATTTTGATGAGGTCCCACTTGTTTATTCTTTCCTTTATGTCCCTTGCTTTAGGAGACATATCAGTGAAAAAATTGCTGCGTGGGATATCTGAGAGTTTCCTGCCAATGTTCCTCAAGGACTCTAGGTCCTCTAGGACTTTTATGGTGTTGTGACTTATACTTAAGTCTTTTATCCATCTTGAGTTTATTTTTGTGTATGGTGTCAGCTGATGATCCAATTTCAATTTTTTGCATGTAGCTGTCCACCTCTCCCAAGAGCATTTGTTGAAGCGGATATTATTACTGCACTTTATGCTTCTGCCCCCTTTGTCAAATATTAGTTGCCCATATAAACCTGGGCTTATTTCTGGCCTTTCTATTCTGTTCCACTGGTCTATGGGTCTGTTCTTGTGCCAGTACCAGATGGTTTTGAGTATAGTGGCTTTGTAGTAGAATTTGATGTCTGGTATGGTGATCCCTCCTACTTTGTATTTCTTTCTCAAAATTGCTGCGGCTATTCGGGGTCATTTATGGTTCCACATAAATTTTTGAAATGCCTGTTCTATTTCTGTGAAATATGTCATTGGTATCTTAATAGGGATTGCGTTGAATCTATAAATTGCTTTTGGTAGTATGGACATTTTGATGATATTAATTCTTGCAATCCATGAGCATGGTATATGCTTCCATTTATTTGTGTCTTCCTTAATATATCCCCTTGCTAATAGTACCAGGGAAGGGGAAAGGAAGGAAGGATGGGACAAATCATGTGTCTTCCAATGACAGAGTCAGAACTAATCAAAATAGAACTATGATACAAAATAGATATATTACAACCTTAAAATCAAAACCAGCATTTGTAAACAAACTATAAACATTTGTATAGATAGTATCCAAAATAATACAGTATAATGATTTAAAAATCATTAAACATGAAATCATTTGCCAAAGGGGCAAAAGTTACTGTTCTAATAAGCTGTCTGTATTTAAATATTAAAATAGAATAGATATGAGCAGAAACAGTTCTGGCTGCCTGCTCCTTGCCTTTCTCTTACTCTTTACCCACCACAAGACTCAATTGGTCAGGGATCTTCCACTACAATCACAGGAGCTAGCCCCTCCTTGTCTCAACTGTGTAGCCTGCCACATCTGAGGAACCTACTGTCAAGGAAGGAAAAGGAATAAGAATTTCCCACAATGAAAGCCTTAATTTGTGAAGTATTTAATTCCAAAACAGATATCTGTTAATATACATATGTTTCTGCCACAATTAAAACTTTCACAAATTTAGCCCTGGCTGGTGTGGTTCAGTGGATTGAGCGCTGGCCTGTGAACCAAAAGTTCACTGGTTCGATTCCCAGTCAGGGCATGTGCCTGAGTTGCAGGCCAGGTCCCCAGTAGGGGTGTGTGAGAGGCAACCACACCTTGATGTTTCTCTCCTTCTCTTTCTCCTTCTCTTCCCCTCTGTCTAACATAAATAAATACATAAACAAATATTTTTTTAAAACTTTCACAAATTTATAAATATGTGTATATGTATTTTTATCCTGTTTAACCTGCAAACCAGTTAATCCACACCTAAATAACCAGGGGTTGACTAGAACACTTATTTTAATGACCTTGAAGCTTGCAGAGAACTTTTACCTACTTCAGCTTTTAACTCTTCCAATCCTATGAGATAAAAGCAGGCATTATTTCCATTGGACAATAAAGAAATTCGGGTTCTGTATGACAGAAGTAGGACTGTATTCCAGGTCTTCTGCCTCCATAGTAACTGTCTGCCACAGTGCCACAGAAAACAATACAAACACTTATCATCTGATTTCTCAAATAGAACATTAAGAATTTAGAGATGAAAACAACTTTCCAGAAACACACAATGTAAAACAAGCTGCATTTGTATTTGTAGTGAATGCAAACAATGTTCATTAAATTTTATTTTAAATGTTGACTTGACCTCATTATTGTGGATCCATAGATATAAGTCCTAGTGCAACTGTACTAATTTTAGTGCTTCTGATGTTAACATTAACTTTAGATCATTGTTTTGTTTCTTTTTTTATACTATGGCATCTCTAGAAATATAAATTTGATGACATGGAAAGGTAGAGGGGCAGGTGGTGTTCAAAATTTGCTTGCATGGTATTGGTATGGGAGAGGAGGGCACAGATTTGTATACTTCACTAAAACAAAAATAAATAGAGCCAATTTTCCACAGAATTCTCCAAAGATTCAAAACATGTATGAGTAACGTATAACATTAATCTTGCAGCTTTCTTGATCACTTCGAACAACTATAAAATGGAGGGGGAAAGCTTTATCTTTTGCTAGGCTTCTTGGCTTAAAGACTTAGAAGTAAAAATGCAACTAAAAAGTTTCTAACTAGAAGTATGTTTTATTTCTTTAACATTTGGTTGTAATATATTCAATATGAAAGATAATAAAGCTTACCTCACAAGCAGGGCATATAATTGTGCTGTATTCTTCAGTTACTAATAAGCACCATTCACAAAAAGCGTGTCCACATTGAAGTTCATGGTGGTGACCTATTGGTGAAATTATAAATTAATCTTTCCAGACTGTTAATATTATGCAGTATTAGCCAAAGGGGAAAGTCAGAAGAGAACCTCTTGTATAAGAAAAGATATCAAAGTTAATTAGAAATGGACAACTTAAGATGGCAGCACAGACAGACATGGCTCACCTCTTCATACAACCACATCAAAATTACAACTAAAATATAGAATAACAAGCACTCAGAAACATCAGAAATTAAGTTGAATGGAAGTATGACAACCATGGAATTAAAGAAACCATATTCATCCAGAGTAGTAGGCAGAGCACAGATGTGGAACCTGTGGTGGATAAAAATTCAGGAAGGATATCCTGGGAACAAGGAACCCCAGTCCCTAACCAGGCACCCCAGCACAGGGTTCCAGTGCCAGGAAGATAAGCCCCTACAACTTCTGGCTGCAAAAACTGGCAGGGATTGAGTTGGTGGAAGAAACTACTGGACCACCAAACAGTTCCTCTAAAAGAAGCCACACACAGACTCATCTACTCAGGTTTACTCACTCTGAGGTCCAACACCAGGGTAGCAGCTTCAAAGGCACCTGGCATGCTGGGAGACATTGAAGTGTCTGGCATCAAGGCTACCAGAGGCCATTGTCCCTTTTCTAAACCCTATCCCCAAAGAGGCACAGAGCCGACAGGCTGGTGCCACATCTGAGACTCCATCAACCTGGCTAACACTGTTAGACCAACCTTGAAGATCCCCAGAGGCTCCAACTCACCCAACTTACAAGCCCGCCCAAGCTGTTTTCCCATATGAATGGTTGGTCTTGGGTCATGTTTCACAACTTCCTAAATCCTCTCAAATAAGCAACAGCTGGCCTCAGTGAGCCCCAGGCGTGGCACCAGCAGCAGCCAGCCTAGATGCACAACTTGGCTTTGCCTGGGAATCTCCAAGCCCAACACAAGTAGCAGAATTCTCAGACCGCTTTATAGCTCAGAAAGGGTAACCCCAGGCAAAACACAGGTGGCGGCTGGCCTTGGCCAGCACCACCTCAGGAGACCCCTGGGCCAGTGCACCCAGTGGACAGCTACAGGCCTTGTCAGAGCACCACCGCCCTGCCCCTGCACAGCTGATCCTCTTTGGAGGGCAGATGTTGGTGGTAAGTGATCACAGCCAATCCTTGCAGCTGACTGAAGGATAAATTCCTCCCATTGATATGCCAACAGCAACTAAGGCTCAACTACAAGAGGAGGGTATACTCAGCACAAAGGGCGCCCCTCTAGTATCCAGTTTGGGTGATAGAGGAGGCTATGCCACTGGACCCTACAGGACACCTACTATAATAGGCCACACTACCAAGACACAGAATTGTATCCTACATTAGGCCACACTACCTAATGCACAGAAACAAAAACAGGAAGGTTGGCAAAATGAGGAGACAAACATGGCACAAATGAAAGATCAGATCAAAACTCCAGAAAAAGAGCTAAACAAAAATGGAAATAAACAACCTATCAGATGCAGATTTCACAACACGGGTTATAAGGATGCCCAAGGAACTTATTGTGGACCTCAACAGCATAAAAACAATCCAGTCAGAAATGAAGGATACAGTAACTGAAATAAAGACTAATTTACAGGGAAACAACAGAAGAGTGGATGAAGCCAAGAATGAAATCAATGATTTGTAACATAAGCAAGCAAAAAACAACCAATCAAAAGAACAAGAAGAAAAAAGAATCCCCCAAAATGAAGAAAGTATAAGCTGCTTCTAGGGCAACTTTAAGAGGTCCAACATTTGCATCACAGAGGTGCCAGAAGAAAAGAGCAAGAAATTGGAAACTTGTTAGAAAAAAATAAAACTTCCCTAATTTGGTGAAGAAAACAGACACGCAAGTCCAGGAAGCATAGAGTCCCAAACAAGATGGATGCATAGAGGTCCACTCCAAGACACATCATAATTAAAATGCCAAAGGTTAAAGATAAAGAGAACCACAAAAGCAGCAAGAGAGAAGAAGTAAGTTACCTACAGGAGAATTTCCATAAGACTGGTAGCTGATTTCTCAAAAGAAACTTTGCAGGGTAGAAGGGATTGGCAAGAAATATTCAAAGTCATGAAAAGCAGGTATTTACTTGGCAGGGAGCGAAGATTGCTCTACCAAGCAAAGCTATTATTCAGAATCAGAGGGCAGATAAAGAGCTTCACAGGCAAGAAAAAACTAAAGGTGTTCATCCCCAAGCCATTATTATATAAAATACTAAAGGGACTTATGTAAGAAAATCAAAACTGTGAACAATAAAATGGCAATAAATACGTATCTATCAACAACTGAATCTAAAAAACAAACTAAACAAACAAGAAGAACAGAGACAGAATCATGGATATGGAGAGCATACTGATGGACGCCAGATGGGAGGAGGTTGTGGGGGAAAGGGTGAAGAGGTGAGGGGATTAAGAAGTAATTACAGAAAAGCTACATGGAGGCAAAGTACATTATAGGAAATAGAGTAGCCAAAGAACTTATACACATGACCTATGGACATGCACAACAGTGGGTGGACTGCCACAGGGATGGGCCATGCTGGGAGGAGAGGGGCAAAGAGGGGGAAAAATCAAGACAACTGTAACAGCATAATCAAATACAATTTTTAAAAAGAGACTGGGAAAGAGGAAAAAATAAAGAAAAAGAAAAGAAATGGATGACTTATTAAACAAAATTCAGGAAAACCTATACATGTCAGAAGGAGTGAGAAACAGAACAAAAACCAAGTACAGCTACATACTTTGCCATGTATAATGCACACCCACGTTTTCTGCCCAAAATTGCATGAAAAATAATCTTTTAATTTTTTAATTGGACTTTATTTATATTTAGAAACAAAACTGATTATTGTATTCCAGGGTACTATTTTGTATATGGATATCATTATTGCTTTCTAGAGTTACACTTTTAATGCATAAGCATAAATAAAAGAATTAAAAACATTTATATAGAAAAAGGAAAAAGATGGCAGAGGAGCGAATGGGCGTCACGCCGACCTTCTCCCAAGACCAAACTGGAATTGCGACTAAATAGTGGAGAAATCACCTGGAAAACAATGGAACAATAGAGGGAGAAGAGCCTTGGAGCTGCAGACAGACAGTGGAATCAACTTTCACACATCCCAACGGGTGAGAAGTGCGGTGGAGGCTCGAAAGGGTGGGCTGGGTGCCCATGGGCCACCAGAGGGACACTGAAATGGTCAGCTGGCTCCCCCTGAGAAGAACAGGGTCTAAACCATAAACAGGGACCCCTAGACTACAGCAGCTGAAACCAGGAAAACACAGACAAAACGCAAACCCGAAAAGCTTAGGGGCGCTCTCTGCCAGAGACAGGTGGCTGGAGATGCAAAGAGGCGTATAAAGGGCCAACACAAAAATTTGCAGTGGCAGCCGCCTTCCTTGATCTCTGGGTAGAGGCAGCAGGAGAGTGGGCTGGTGCCTGAGGAAAGATTGGCGAGGAAAACTTTGTGAAGAGAACTGACACGGTGGCCAGCGGAGCCACCTGGTCATAACTCACCTCCCACTCTGCAGCTACCATCTCGCTCAGGCATAAGGGAATCAATTAACCTACCTTTTGTGCACTCCGCACACAGCTTGTGCGTGTGTGAGTTGGGGGGCTGAGTGCAGACTGGCTGGAAGAAATAGAGTATCCCTGGCCAAAGGGGTCACACAGCTGCATAGAGAGCCTTGAGGAGAGACTGGAGATGGAGGCATTGGGGAAAGAAGGAGAGGAGGAACCCGGGAGTCCTGACTCCCTCCCCATTCCGTAGTCTCCATTTTTCACAGGCAGGGCATGCCCCCAAAGAGGCAGAAGTGGGTTCACGGGAGCCAGACAGCCTGTGAATACAAGGCGGTTCACAGAAATAGTGGATCCCTGGCCAAAGGGGTCACAGAACTGCCCAGAGACCCCTGAGGAGAGACTGGAAATGGAGGCATTGGGGAAGGAATGGGAGGAGGAATCTGGGAATCCCAACTCCTTCTTCTTTCTGTAGTCTCCATTGTGTGTGGGTGGACCACGCCCCCAAAGAGCCAAAAGCTGAAAAGCAGACAATAGACAGCCCAAAACCACCCAGTGCAGGCGCACACACATGCCAAGTGGCTGGTGAGGGTTGGCCAGCGTGTGTGGACCTGCGACCACGCAGGCTGGTGAGGGCTCCCGCAGGTTGACGCTATGGGGCCTGCGAGGGAGTGCACAGATCAGCGAGGGCAGGCATAAACCAGTGCCCACGGGGGCCCGCAAGTGTAGAGTGGTCTGCAGAAATAGTGGATCCTGGGCAGAAGGGGTCATAGAGCTGCCCAGAGACCCTGGAGAAGGATTAACAGGGGAGTCCCAGAGCTGACTTCCTCCCATTTCCATAGTCTCCATTTTGCGTGGGCAGGTGATGCCCCCAAAGAGCCAAAAGTAGGGAAAGCACACAACAGAAGACCCTAAACTGACAAGTGCATGAGGTTGGGTGAATGAGAGCCCCTGGGCTGGGGCAAGCGCGCAAACCCAGGTGGGCAGGGGACCCAGCCGGGATAGGGAGCACGCTCAAGGAGCAGGCGTCAGAGTGCAGAGCAATCCAAAGAAATAGTGTATCTCTGGCCAAAGGGGTCACAGACCTGCCCAAAGCAAGAGTCAGACACAGGCATTAGACTCCTGGAAGGCTCAAACAAACGACCTAAGGCCATATAGGGTCAAAAACTGACATCATCAGAGGCAGGCCCAGAAAGAAAAATAAATTAATTATTTAATCAATTAGTTAATTAAATAAAAACCAGCCTACTACCATAGAAGTTTAATCCACAAAGTCAGGAAGTCTAGACAGATCATTGAAGCAGAAGCAAAAATAAATAAGTAAATAAATAAATAAATAAATAAATAACTTAATAGACTCACACAAAAATGGAAAGAAAAAGAAGTTCCCCCCCCCCCCCCCAAATGAGGGGGAAAAGGGGACTCCTCACAGAGAGAGCTAAATGAAATAGAGGCAAGGGAACGATCAGAT